TATATATATATATATATATATATATATATATATATATATATATGGAAGATACTACAAACGCCTATAGGCGAAAATGAACAGTGATTTCGCTTACCCTCATCATCATCCAAACTTCATCGCACGGTCACAGTTGTCCGATAGTGTTTCAAATTTCATTTTTTATTTATTGATCGGAATGATCTGAAATTTGGAGCGTGTGTACATCTTAGTGAGGCGTACCTAATAAAAATATGAATAAAATAATTCGTAAAATATAAATTTACCAAAATACCCCCAAATATTTATAGGGGTATTTTGGCCAATTTATATTTTACAAATTATTTTTTTCATATTTTTATTAGGTGCGCCTCACTAAAATGTACACACACTCCAAATTTCAAGTAATTTGGATTTGTAGAAACAAATGAAAATTGAAACACTACTAGACAACTATGACCGTGCAATGAAGTTTGGATGGGGATGAGAATACACAAAATCATTGTTCATTTTCGCCTATAGGCGTTGGGAAGAGTTTTCCTATATATATATATATATAATTTGTTTTTTTTTAATTTATTTATTTTCTTCTTTTCTAAAAGCTTTGGTTTAATATATCTCTCTATCCCCTAAAATCTGTAACTCAATCTCTATCTATTCCCTAACATGTCTAATGGTTAAGCCTTAACCCCACCTCTCACACCCCTCTCTCTCATCACCAATTTTGCTTTGCGCTTTCAAAAAATTCAAAACCATAAGAAATTCCCTCGTGGAGCATTATCCGAACTCTTAAAATTTATAACTCCTAGAAGTCCTCATAGCAAATTCATTGCGCTCATGCCAATAGATCTTATTCTTCCTAATTCAATATTTATCTATTTCGAAAATATCTAACTTAATTTTAAATACGTGGGCATCCCAAGCTTATGTTTCCATTAGAGTCGAGAGAAAAACGTTCCTACAAATTAATCGTTAATAGCGATTATAAAATAAATACAATTTAAAAGTCAAAATAAAAATACCTAGAAAACTTAAATGGAGACAATATGGTATGTATATCTCTCTCTCTCTTCCCCTAAAGATGGGAATGTGTCCTACAATCTCTATAGAATTAGGGATCCTTCTTATTGTCGCCACACTTGTTCACCCCTTAACTCTGGCTTAATAATGTAGTATAGATATACTTTAATATAAAAAGTATTAATGAATTCCATTTTCTGGTTGGCATGGGTAGTGCCCATTATCCATGTCATAGACTTGTTTTCGGCAAGTTATAAATTTTGTTAACTCAAAATGGTAGAAGTAATGACATGGAGCTTAGGGGAAGAAATGAAGGGAGCACTTAAAAACTAAAACTAGAAAAATGTAAGTTGCGTAAGGTAGAATTCTCTGCTCAAATTAGGTATTTCTCTCCAAATAGGGATTCTAGAATCCCTAGTAAAAGATCTTGGCCTGCTATCTGTTCCCATATTTGCAACCAAGTTTGTCTCTCTGTTACTGTCTCTATTGATCAGTCAGGCCATCGAAGTAATAAGATTAGTCTGCATAAAAAGAGATCTGTACTCTTCACTTAGAGAACACCACCCTTATGAAATTTACGAAGAACTTGGAATTCAGTTCTTTCTGAGCCATTTTGCTTATATGAGAAATAGTTATATTGATAGAACCATTTCTCGGAGACCAGAGGAATACTTGACCTGATGATCTATCTGGAGTATTGGAGGACAATTTCAAAACCTTTAGCACACCAGACCTTCAAGCTACTAGTTCACAGTAAGTGACCAGTTTGTTAGGCCGTTCTTAATGTACTTGAACTTTCCATACTCAGACGACATGGAGTTAGTGGTAAGTAGCCATCAGCCCAGCTTTGTTGTATTTCCTCTTCTCCACCCTGCCTCATTTTCAAGCTTTTGGGCAAGAGCAAAAAGCCAACTAGTGTAGGCTCGAAAGCCGGAGTGCGGTAGCATGTCACTTATCCTTTGGATACCCAGCCTCTCATTGTCATTAGGAAGGAAAAATGATTCCCAAATAATCTGATGAACCTTCTCAACTGCATCCATGCTTCCCCAAGAAAACCTGCTTAAAATGCTCTCCAAGCTCAGCAAAATGACTTCGGAGCAAGAAGTAAAGAAAGTGTATACGGGAGTATAAGAAAGAATATCTTGACAAGAACATGCCTCTTTCAACGGATTCCCTTTCCAAACACTTAGTCTTCGAAAATCGTGAATTGGACTCTAAACCATCTACCAAGGACCAAAGGGATCCCAAGATTATTGGTAGGATTCTGTCCTAAGGGATCCCCATGCTAGAGGAGGATCTGCAGGCTAGGTGCGAAAGGAAGCTTGTGATTAAAAATTTCGCATACTCCCCAAAAGACCCTTCAGATGGTGTAGATATCTAGTATAATTCTTGTGACGATGATAACATCATCAACATAAAATTGATGGGAGATAGTGGTACATCTGCTGGCCAGTGCAACATATAATTGATGTTAGACCCTCCTATTGGCCATAGGCTCTTTAGTACTCATGTTAAGAACCTTCTCATCTCAGATGAACCCCCCCGGTAAGGAAGAGTCTTCTTGTTTTAAACCCTATATGCCTGAAAGAAACCAAATGGCACACCATTCAATAAAACACTGAACCACAGAGGATCCTATGACTTCGTGCAATGGAGGTTTTGGCCCTGCTAACAGGCTTCACTGCTTGTATGGTCTAAGTTAAGGTGTGACACACAGTACTTTTTGTTGGCTTCTCCCATTCAGAATTCTGTTTACATATGCCTAGTGTGCTTTTTTTCTCTGAAAAGTGTGAAATATCTTCTATTTTTCTGAGAAAATGAAGATAATGTTCTATACTTCCCATAAAAGTTAGTAACATGCTTTAAAGGAAATCTTTAGGTCCATGGTGATCTTCTGGGCCACCAACCACAACCATTTCAAGCTCCTCTCCTCCACTAACATCTCGATTGGCCTACCATTCTTCATCACAAGCCCAGGCCTGTCCCCCGCTCGTCCCTTTGGAGACCTCCGGAAACCGGCCAAACCAAACTTAACTTTAATGGGTGCTCTCTTGGCAACCCGGGCCAGGCAGGTATCGGGAGTATCTTCAGATTTCATGAAGGAATCATTCTCTTCTCTTGCCTTTCCCATTGGCCTAGCAGACTCCACAACGGCGGAAGCCCGTGCGCACTTGGAAGACCTTAAAATTTCAATCCCACTTGGAACACAGTCCTGGTTGTTGATGGTGACTCTAGAAATGTTATCTCGTGGGCCTCAAGAGAGGCCACCCCCCCTTGGAGACTTATAGCAGTCTTTGATGAGATTTTTGACATTTGTAGGTGTACAAAGGTCTCATGGAGACATACTTGCCGCGAGGCCAATGAGGTGGCCAACACACTGGCTAAGGAGGGCGCTTCTCAAGCAATATCTTAGAAGACCAACTGCTATGTCTTTCTTTTTGTTAATGTGTTATAACTTCATGCTTGTATAGCAATTTTTGTTTTGGCCACCTCTTGGTGGCTGAATATCACTCCCGTTCTGTGGGCAGCAGTTTTTGTAACTTGTATATCTCTCTTACTTAATACAAAGTCAACAGTTTCAAAAAAAAAAAAAAATAGTAACATGCTTTCCAGTTCTTTTATGTTCACATGCTTTTGTTGAAGTTTCATGTTTCTTTTGTCTAGTAGGTTGGATATCTCTCTGCAATATGCTTTCTTTCTGAATGAACCATTTAGTATTAGCTTTATGACGTATTTTGGTTTCTGATATTTCTTTCATTTCATCTAATATGTAATTTTGTCCTAAATAAAACTTCACTGAGTGTTTCTAGCGTTTTGAAAGCTAGCTTTGCTTGTCGCATAATCAAATCTCTTAATACAAGTTTCCCCAAAAAAAAAAAAGGTTAAATAACATGCTTCCCAGTTCATTTATGTACACAAGCTTTTGTTGCAGTTTCATGTTTCTTTTGTCTGGTACGTTCGGTATCTCTCTGCAATATGCTTTTTTTCTGAATGAAGCCATTTAGTATTAGCTTTATGGCATATTTTGGTTTCTGATATTTCTTTCATTTCATCTATAATATGATTTAGTTCTAAATAAAACTTCAAGTGTTTCTAGCTTTTTGAAAGCTAGCTTTGCTTGTCACAATAAAAAAAGTCATGTACATAGTTTATTGTGTACAAATGCCAGATCAAAAGGCATGAACATGTGTAGGGTCAGCCAAATTTGGTTGTTCTTGGTCATATACAAAATTGGGCCGTACAATAAGTTAATGTTTACTTGGAGTCATGACAACTTTTGGGACTGAATGTTATTTTGACATTTCTTCAACTCTGCACTTTTTCAGGGAGTTTTTGATATTCTACAGAAATACCCAGTGCCTGAGTGCGACATTTGGTTCATCAAGTTTTCGTGTGATTTTCACTTTAATGCTGCAGCAGTAGGTAAGCATTGATCAGCTGAAACTGTGCCTGCTGTTCGGGTAGTTTGAATAGTTAAACACCTGCAAAGCTTTGCACATGTTTTCACATGTGAGAATTTGTCTCTTAGTGGCAACTAATAACTCATCCAAGAAATGTTGGGTTCCATCAAAAGTATCACATACGTTGAATGCTGAAGGAAAAAGTTTTTGAAAGTGTTTGAGAAAGAAATTCTCTCTGAAAACTGAAAGGATCTAAGGTATCATGTACTCCGATGCTATGCATTGAAAAGCAGTGGGGACAACCCATAATGCTATACTGATTTGGTAGCCGTTTAGTTTCTCCTTGGAGATTGAGAGGTAATTAAAATTACTCCATCAATCCCATGATAGAATTTGATTATCTGAAACCATACTAAACTTGCTTGCTTTTCAAGATAGAATATGAAGATATCGGCGAGAAAGAAATTTGAGGCATGATGAAACTATGGAAGACAGTTTGTTAACTCCTGTGTGAGCATATTCTATTCTTAATACATCTATGACGAACTTGCTTTCGTTAACAAAGTAAATGGATTGTCATTTTTTAAAAGATCTCATTTCCGTTCATGAAATCTTTTATTTGTCTTTCTTTCTCGGTGTTAAGAGGTAGAGTGTTTCCCCAACAAATATTTCATTGAACAAAATCTTACGTTCTATCTTTATTTGTCGTGCTCGATAGCATGTATTTTAGAGCGACAGAAAAGAGCAGGGGGAAAATGCAAACCTAAGTGCACAATTGACTAATGGCCACACTAAACAGTGGGGATTTGACACATATCTAATTTAGTTATTACAGACTTCTCTGGTGAGTACCGGATCATCCACCTGTCAAAATGATTTTGTTTTGTGGTTGATTTTAATCAAGTGAACTCCCAACCATTTAGCCACATTATTTAGCTGCAAAACCCAAATCATAGAGTATTAGCTTCAGAAAGATTTTTAATTTGATATGTGAAAGGGACCTTCACATCTTTAAAATAGACCCATCTTTCAACACCTTTCTCAGAAGCTCCCTTTTATTATTATTCAGGGAATAGGGAAGGAAAGATTTATGTATGGGAACTCCAGTCGAGTCCTCCGACTCTCATAGCCCGGTCAGTTTAGCTCCAAGTCTACTGCTTTTTATTTATTAAGAGTTACTGATATGCTCTTTCTTCTTCATTTTGGGCCTAATTATTTCGGTTTTCAGGTTAGGACATGTTCAGTGCAAGTCTCCTATCAGGCAGACAGCTATGTCATATGATGGAAGGTGTGGCCGCAATATTTATGTGCTCTCTCTCTCTCTCTCTCTTTCGCTCTCTCATATATATGTGTGTGTAGTGTAGGTATGTATGTATGTATGTATGTATATATATATGTCTGTCTGTTTGTTTATGTAAATAATGTTGGTTCTGACTTCAATATGTATGTACCTTTTATGTTTTACATGCAGCACCATACTTAGTTGCTGTGAAGACGGGACAATATGGCGTTGGGACGTTGTCCAGTAAACCTGACATTTATTTGCATCTTTTCCCTGCCTCTGGAGCCCAAATTCGTAGTTTTGGTGTGCCTCAACCAATGAAGCTGGCTGATTGTCCCTGAAGTGCCTGATGATAAGGGGCTACAAATGGTAAGTTACATGAACAAGGTTTTGTTTTTTCGACAGCAATTTGGAATACATAGTATTTCAAAGGTTTTGTATTTCAGATATTTAAAGGGAAAATTATACAAGAAAAATGTCCTTATCATTTAGTTCTTTTGTTAATGGAATGCCCAAACACCTCCATTACGCGACAAAGCCTACAACAGTCAGGTGACATAATGGTATGCCAAACATCACGCGAAATGGAACCAGCATCCTTGATGACTAATGTTATATAGCAAAATGGCAGACTAGTTTTTGGGTAAAAACTATTTGGAGTTTATCTCATTTTTAACAAATGCATCCAATCCCTCGAACGTTGCCCTTCATGCCCTCATGCCTCTCAAGCCAAAAGCCCATGATGATATCTAGAGTTCATGTCCATTAGTAGCGTCCTATGCCCTACATGTTGAAAAGTAAAAACTGCCAGTCTGCTGCTAATTATTTGCCCGTTGTTTGTACATAGATTTATGGAGAGAATGGGGTGAAAGAGGGTGCAGAGGGTGGCGAGCAGAGTGTCCCATGAAAGGATGACTGTTGGCTGATGGCTGTGAGAAAATCCTATTTTGCTTTGGGAAAAGGGATTGATCGGTTTAGGAGATATTGGGAGGTTTTATGGAGAAGTACCCATTGTCAGAGTGGATGAAGAGGTATTCTCAGAGAAGATAGAAGCTCTGACGTCTATGCTTGTTGGTAACCTTTCTCCACCATTACAAGATATTTCTGGGTTAGAAGAATGGATCTTTGAAAATTAAATCTTGGAATTTCTCAAAAACTTTAACTTGGGAGTTAAAGCTCTTATCCCATTATCAAAAGAGACATGGGAGAGTGAAAGGAATGTGGTTTATGGCGGAATGTTGGAAATCAAGTCGGTGGACGTTGTTTGGCTGAGAGCCTGCGGGGTTCCTTTCCAAGCTTGAAACCTAGATGTTTTTCAAAGCATTGTTAACTTTGGTGGGAGCCAATCAATAACAGGGAAGTGTTGAGCAGTGTGAGGTTTGGCATCAAGAAGCTAACAAATGTTCTGAGTCAAGGCCTCACTGATAGGGACCCGCCAAATTTAAAAAAAACGCCCTGGTAGTAGTGGAACTTTGTTGAAGCAGTTTCGTCTAAATCTTCGAAACCACTGGATTTGGATTTTATTGATGGTGTTGATACATATAAGGAAGAGGAGATAGTAGGAAGGTAGAATGATTTTAGGGAAGGTAAAGTACCACTTTGGAATCCATTGGTAGATTATGTGGTGCATGCAATGGGATTGGTAGGTACTAATGATATAGGTGGGAGTACTTCTCAAGATGACAGTCATGAACTAGGCCATATATTTGCTCTTGAAGACGGTTTCACCTACGTTTATATCGTCCTAAAATATTCTAAAGAACTGGTGCGCCATCTTCTAAAGATAAGGGCTTAGCTTGGCACGAGTGATTAGAGATGAGGCTTGGGTAGAGACTATTGCCGTTCAGCAAAGCATCTAAGCAAAAGGAGGTCAAAGCAAAGGAGTATGAAGTTTCGAGTACATAGGGGATTAGTCCAAGGTATAAGAAAACAAAAAATCAATACTTCTCATATTACATTTTATTCATACAATTTACAGCTGCATAGATGGCTGCAAGGCACTCAATCCTCACATACATTCTCTCCAAAAATTCCAAGGATTACTTCTAGTCCTTAATACAATTACTCACTCTCAAATAAAGCTCAAGGCAACTCTCAATTCTTGGTTGCTGGAATAGGCACCTTTGAGGGGTATTTATAGGCCAAGGAGGATATTTTTAAAGAGATTATCAAGAAATTTCTAGAGGAGGTTCCTAGATACTTTTTTAAACAATAATTTATTGGGAAAATTTTCATCGAAGTTTCTAGGAAATTTCATAGGATTATGATTTTTTTTTTCTAGGTTTCTTTGGAACTTTCAAGAACCTTTCCTTTAGATTTAGGGATGTAAGTCACCCCCCCTTCAAAAGAACCCGTCCTTGAGTTACACAGACCCCTTATTTCCAAATCAGTCACTTTCAATTGCTCCTTTATTAGCCAAGCGTCTTCAGATTCAGGTTTGTCTTTCAATCGCATTAGGGATTGAGTGAGTTGTCATTGACTGGTCATTGTATTTTAGGTATTAATCATGTCAAGGATGCACTCAATTCTCTTGCATAGGTAACTCATTCTCTTGCACATGTAAATTGTCTCGAACCTCGTCCCAAGTGATAGTATTAGCTTCTCCATGATATTTGAATAAATCTGAAATGTTGAAAATTGGGTCGATCCCTATTCCTTTAGGTAATTTGAAGCGATAGGAATTTGCCCCAGGATTCAACATGGTCCTATCTTCCTGTGTTTGAGTTTATGATATATTTTCCCGCTGCATTGTACTCCTTTGCTCGGTGACTTTTGTCAGCAGCAGCTTTATATTGTTCATATGCCTCCGCTAACTTGCAGTGAACATTGTCATGGACTTCTTTCAAATGACCAGTCAGATCAGAAGTATTTGCACTAAGCCGTCCATGGTTTGATATCGATGTCACATCCAAAATGTGCAATGGTATTCGCCCATATATAATTTCAAATGGTGTTTTGCCCGTTGAATGATTCTTTGAAATGTTAGAAGCAAACTCTGCTTGTGAAAGCACAAAATTCCATGACCCTGGTTGATCTCCGACAAGACTTCGAAGGAGATTTCCTAAGGTTCTATTGACGACATTTGTCTGCCCATCAGTTTGAGGGTGATAGGCACTACTAAATTGTAATTGAGTGCCCATGAGTCACCATAATGTTCTCCAAAAGTGGCTAATTAACTTTGTGTCTCAATCTAAAGTTATGGTTTTGGGCACCCCATGAAGCCTCACAACCTCTCAAAAGAATAGGATTGCAGTTTGAGTAGCATCTGTTGTTTTTTTAAAGGGTATGACGTGGGCCATTTTAGAAAATTGATCAATAACGAATAATATGGAATCCAGCCCTTGCCTTGTTCTCGAAAGTCCCACCACAAAGTCTAGGCTAACATCCACCCAAGGTTTTGTAGGGATGGGTAGTGGGATGTATAAACCAATATTTTGAGTGCATCCTTTTGCATGCTGACAGATTCCACACCTTTCAACAAATCTTCCAACTTCGTTTTTCAATTTAGGCCAAAAGTGCCTTTCTTCTACAAGAGCTTGGGTATTGTTTTAGCCAAAATGTCCCCTTAGACCACCTCCGTGCAGCTCAGAAATGATTTTAAGTTTAAGGGAACACTCAGGTATACAAAGGTGAAATCCTTCGAATAAAAAGCCTTCGTGGAGGATGAAATCTAGATAGGTCCCTTGAGTCTGACATTTCTTCAGGATTTCCTGAAAATAGGGGTGTCATTTTCATAATTTTGAGGTAAATTCTGAAATCCAATCACCTCATATGTTGAGTCTGAAGAAGATAGTCCCTTCGACTAATTGCATCAACGGAAACTTATGACACATAGTGAAAATAAACTCTTGGAGATACGATGTCCATTTTGCATGTCGGGAATTCGGATTCTTTTGTGAATTTAAATAATGTAAAGCTTTGTGATCTGAGTATAACATAAACTCCTTTTGAATCAGATATTGCCTCCAATAATGAAGTGCTTGGACAATCGCCTAAAATTCAATATCATTAGTCGAATATCGTTCCTTGGCTGCATTGAGTTTTTCGCTGAAGAATGATACTAGTCGCCTTTCTTGGCTGGGGATTGCACCGATGCCATTGTGTGAAGTGTCGCATTCCACCTTGAAAACCTTTGAAAAGTTGGAGAGAGCTAGTATTGGAGCCTCAATCATTTTTTGTGTTAAGAGTTTAAAACTTTCTTTAGTAGCTTGAGTCCATCTAAACTCCCCATGTTTCATGCAATCAGTGACTGGTGCAATAATCGAACTAAAATTCTTGATGAACCGGTAGTAGAAGGTGGCTAGCCCATGGAAACTTCATACTTCTGATAGAGATTTCGGCATTGGCCACTCCACAATGGCTTTAACTTAATCTTGATTCTACATGAATCCCTTCTGCCGATAAAAGAGCACTTCTTCAGATTGACATATAACTTTGCTCCTCGTAAGGCTTGAAAGACCTTTCTTGGGTGTTCCTTATGGGATTCTTCATTGTGCTATAAATCAAGATGTCATCAAAACATACAACCACAAATTTTCCCATAAAGGGGCGCATGACTTATACCATTAGCCTCATAAATGTACGAGGTGCGTTCGATAGCCAAAATGGCATTACCAACCACTCATAGAGTCCATATTTTGTTTTGAAGGTTGTATTCCACTCATCTCCTGAGCCAATTTTATTTTGATGATATCCACTACGTAGATCTATTTTGGAGAAAATTTTTGAACCAGCTACTCATCTAGCACATCATCAAGCCATTGAATTGGAAATTGATATTTGACTGTGATCTTGTTGATGACTTGGCTATCTATGCATATCCTCCAAGACTCATATTTCTTTGGTGTAAGCAAGGGAGGAACAACGACATGGCTTATACTTTCTTGGATAAATCCCTTGCTAAGGAGCTCATCAACCTGCTTCTGAAGCTCTTGATGCTCAGCAGGACTCATTCGGTAGTGGGGTAAGTTAGGGAGGCTTGCACTTGGCACTAAGTCAATCTGATGTTGGATATCCCTCATTGGAGGTAGACCCTTTGGTAACTCATTTGGGGTCACATCAGTAAAGTATATCTTTCACACCTTAGGTACATTGTGCTCCTCTCCTTTTTGTTCTTTGGCTACTAATACATTAATTAGATCTTCCTCTTTTGCTTTCATAAAAGCTTTAAAAGAAAACAAGTTGACATTTTTGTCTTTGAGAATTTGAGGGGTGAGAGAATCTCGTAAGGGCCAAAGACGTACCTTGACTCCATCTTTAACGAACAAATAAGTGTTTTGTTGTCCATCATGCACTGCACCACAGTCGTATTACCATGGCCTTCCCAGAATGTGTTGGCATGCATCCATTGGAAGAACATCACACCAGAT